GTAGACGCCGCGTATTTTTACCCCTTTCCCACTCTGACGGTTTCCTAACGCGCCACTCACATCTGCAGCCCCCTCCCCTCCGGGTGGAAGGAACAGTGCGGGCAGGTCTTCAGGTGTAGTGAGGCCAGGTCCTGGGGCGAGGCGGGCCAGGCCTGTTCAGAGAGGCCAGTGGTCAGACTGTAGGAGAGGGGATGGACGGGGCACCGGACCGGTTGCCAGAGCTCAACCACTGGCACCAGCAGCTGTCCAGAAACCTGCACGAATTAACCAGTGACCTGGAGGATTTTAACTGCGGGCAGGATGTAAGCTGTGTTTTGAGAATGAAGAGTGGGTGTAGTTTCCCACTCCAGGCCGTCTTCTATATTATGCTCCTACTGTGTGGCTTTGAGCCACAGTGCTGTCTCCACCTGAGTTCTGGAAGCAGAGACCTGGCTGTGTGGCCTTGGGCAGGTCCCTTAGCCTCTCTGAGCTCTAGTCCGCACTCCTGTAACACGGGGATGGCAAGGCTCATCTTGCAAAGAGAGGATTGAGACACAGTGGAGGCCTGTGTTGTCCAAGGCGGGTGCTCAGAATGGGAATATTTAATATCTTTAGGGGAAAAATATCTCCACATTGTAAGGGAGACAATGTTGAAATCATTTCTGAACTATCAACCATATCTGATTATTTTTGCTCCTGGTATACGGTGCGACTGTCTTCTCTGAAGCTTTTGTTTTACCTCTAATCTACACACTGACATCCGGAGGATGGCTGGGGGCTCCCATCCCCCTACTGCATCAGCATCAGTCGCCTGGGAGAAGCCTACAGGGTACCAGCCGGGCAAGGCCCCTCTGGTCCCCTTCCACAGATCCCACCTATGGCCGGGGATGTGGGAGTCCTGTGTACAGAGAGCATTTTTAAAAAATTAATTAATTTTATTTTTGGCTGCGTTGGGTCTTTGTTGCTGCGCGCAGGCTTTCTCTAGTTGCGGCGAGCGGGGGCTACTCTTCGTTGCGGTGCGTGGGCTTCTCATTGCGGTGGCTTCTCTTGTTGCGGAGCACGGGCTCTAGGCGCGTGGGCTTCAGTAGTTGTGGCGCACGGGCTTCGTTGCTGCGCGGCATGTGGGATCTTCCTGGACCAGGGATCGAACCCGTGTCCCCTGCATTGGCAGGAGGATTCTTAACCACCGAGCCACCAGGGAAGCCCAGAGAGCATTTTTAAAAATCGTGTTCAAAGTTCATTTAACATAAGATTTGCCACTTCACTTTCACCGTGTTAAAGTATACAATTCCGTGGCATTTCATACATCTTCAATGTTGTGTAACCATCACCTCTATCTAGTTCCGTAACTTATCCATCACCCCAGGTGGAAATTCCGCCCCTAGGAAGCAGTGACTTCTCGTTGCCCCTCCCCCAGCCCCTGGCCTACTCTGCTTCTGTCTCTGTGGATTTACCTTTGCTGGACGTTTCATAGAAAAGGAATCGTACAATATGTGGCCTTTTGTGTCTGGCTTCTTTCACTGAGTATAATGTTTTTGTTTTTGTTTTTGTTTTTTGCGGTACGCGGGCCTCTCACTGTCGTGGCCTCTCCCGTTGCGGAGCACAGGCTCCGGACGCGCAGGCTCAGCGGCCACGGCTCACGGGCCCAGCCGCTCTGCGGCATGTGGGATCTTCCCGGACCGGGGCACGAACCCGTGTCCCCTGCATCGGCAGGCGGACTCCCAACCACTGCACCACCAGGGAAGCCCGAGTATAATGTTTTTGAGGTTCATCTATGTAGCATGTGTCTGTACTTCATTCCTTTTCGTGGCCAAATAATATTCCACTGTCCGGGTGGACCACATTCTGTTTATCCATTCATCCGTTGACGGACATTTGGGTTAGTTCCTCCTTTTGGCTATTGTGACTAGTGCTGCTATGAACATTTGTGTACAGGTTTTTGTTGGAACGCCTGCCTTCATTCTTTTGAACACACACCTAGGAGTGGAATTGCTGGGTGCTATGGTCATTCCTTCGGGAGGAACTTCCCAGCTGCTGTCTACAGCGGCTGCACCATTTTACATTCTCACCGGCAATGCATAAGGGTCCCGGTTTGCCCACATCCTCGCCAATGCGTGCTCTTTTCTGTTGTTTTGATCATAGCCGGCTTGGTGGGTGTGAGGTATTTCCTCTCCGTGGTACTGATCTGCATTACCCTAATGATGATTGATGTTTCGAATCTTTTCCCGTGCTCGTTGGCCATTTGCCTCTCCTTGGAGAAAGGTTTAAGTCCTTCACCCATCTTTTAAATGTGGTCTTCTTGTTATTGACTTGCAGGAGCTCTTTTTGACATAATCCCTGAGTATTCATTCATTCGTTCATTCATTCATCCACTCCACACTCATGGTCGGCTACACGGGGCAGTCCCCGAGGCCCTAGGGCCAACTCAGACCTGGCACTGCCCTCGACGTGTTTGCGGGCTGGTGGGGGAGCCAGGGGTGGAAACAACGACCAAGAGACCAGGGGTGAGGTTGGTACTCGAGGGACAAGCGTCCACAATGCGTGTCCTGGGTGCCTGGGGAAGAGCCCAGTGGGGCTTTGCCCTTGGGCCTGGAAGGGCAGGAGAGTTTTCGAGACAGAAGAAAGGGAGGGAGACCAGCATGCCAGCAGAGGGACGAGCGCAAGCAGGGGTGGCAGGTCGTCAGAGACCAGATCCTAGGAGGCGTCAGATTCCGATCAAAGGAACCCAGGGAGCTGTAGGTGGGCTCTCAGGGACACCATCAGGGTGGGGTGGGGGGAGGTGGGTGCTAGGGGTGGCCTGCCTGGAGAGGGGAGACCAGGGCTGCAATAATCTGTTTCTGCCCCCAGCTGCATCCAGTTAGACCCCATGTGTCTGAACTTCTGCCCCCAGGAGCAAGGGTTCTCACCCTGGGCAGCAGGGCCTTGGCAGCCCAGAGCCTGCTGGAAGGATCTGGGCATGGGGAATGTGCTTTTCGCATCCAGGCTCTGACCGGAGGGCTGGAGGCTGGTGCCCGGCAGGGTTCCCATCCATCTCATTTCCCTGGGTTGGTTTTCTGAGCAGCTACAATTACTTTGGGCTGAATTCCCCAGATTCCAGCCTGCTCCCAGCCCCGCCTGCCCAGATGCTCTTCCTTCACGCCAGCCTCAGGCGTTGCTGCCCGTGGTGCCCGTGGGAGACCCAGGGGGGTCTTGGCCAGATTAGTGGGTGGGGCTGGCGGGCCACGGGGATTGAGTGTCGCCGGGGCGTCCTGGTCGCAGCACGTGCTGTGGGCTCAGGCCACACGGGGACTTTCCCAGCTGGCCGTGGGTGCTCGGCTGCCCTGGAAAAACACTGACTCGTTTCTCTCAAGAAAGGGGCTGGCAGGCTGTGGGCAGAAGGAGGGAACTCACTGTGCTAGGAGGCCAGGGCCTGCGCAGCGGCTTTGGGGAGCCCCTCGTGGCCTCCCCACTCCCACCTTTTGCCCCCAAACTCTGTCTTGAAACCCAGCTGTTGCTGTGGGTCTGCGGAACCCAGCCCGCCTCCTTTCAGCTTGCTGTCCCTTCCCTGGGTGCTTAAAACCAAACAATTGATGCAGCTTCTGTGGGGAAACAGCCTGCCCGTTCCTCAGAAAGCAAAACCAACGACCTCGTGACCCAGCAATTCCACTCCTAGGTACATGCCCCGAAGAATGGAAAATAGGGACTCAAAGAAAACTTGTGTGCACGTGTTCAGAGCAGCGTTATTCACAACAGCCAAAAGGTGGAAACAACCCAAATGTCCATCAGTGATGAAGGGATAAACAGAATGTGATCTCGCATTACAATGGAATATTATTTGGCCATCATAAAAAGGAAGGAAGTTCATGATACAATGAGGATGAACTTTGAGGAGGTTATACTAAGGGAAAGAAGCCAGGCACAAAAGGTCACATGTTGTATGATTCCATCTGTATGAAATGTCCAGTGGCTGCCAGGGGCTAGGGGAGTGACTGCTAAGGGGTAGGGGTTGCCTTCGGGGGTGGTGAGTGCCTTGGAACTTGATAGAGGTGGTGGTTGACCGACATTGGCAATGTACTCAATGCCGCAGAACTGTAAAATGGTTAACTTTCTGCAACGTGAATTTCACCTCCTTAAACGAATAAACAATCACACCGATGACACCCAGGGGAAGAGAGAAACAGCCCCCCAGTCCCTGCAGGGTGCTGGGAGATTAATTACTAGGCACCCTCAGGGGACCGCTCTGAGGATACAATGTTGCAATAAAGCACCCGAGCCTAGCACACAGTAGGTGCTCAATTCACATCAGCTCCTGTTTCCTCCTCTGAGTGCACCCAGTCTTCCAGAAACAATAACACCAGTCATCCCCACGTGTGTGTGCAGCCTTTCTCCCCTCGGAGAGGGGGAGAAAGGTGTTTTATACCCCATGTCATGGGTGTGAAAACTGAGTCTCAGAGAGGCAGAATGTCTCCCCAAGGTCACACACGGGCTGTGGCTGCAGTCAGGACCCGGTGGGCTTGGCTGCCGGCCTGCCCAGCCTACTTCGCAGCCTGCCTGGTCCAGGCACCCTGGGGTGGAGGGAGCCGGGGGTCTACAAGTGATGGAAAAGCCTCAGTTGTCTGGGAGTTGGGGTCTGCTGCTTGGGGGCAGCTTTGGACAGTCACAAGCTGGTGGCTGTCAAATCCACGAAGGGTCTGTGCGTCTGATTCGGAGGCACAGAGAGGCGCGGTTCTTGTATTCCACGGGACTGTTGATTCATGGAACTTGTGATGCCGTGGTTCTTGCGATCCCGTTCCTGCAGATTCGAGGCTGGGGGGCGCGGGTGTGTGTGCCTTTTCGAGCTGGAATCCTGTGTGCAGGTCAGTGGAACATGGTGCCTGAGGGCAGGGCTCTGTGCTCTGTTCCCTGGCGGGCCGAGCTTGGCACGAGGTGGGCTCCTGGAACACGTCTGCTGGCCGAGGGACTGAGTGGGGAGAGTGGCAGGGGCGGGGTGGCGGGAGCCTGCCAAGGTGTCTCACCTCCTCGGCACCCTCTCCCCCCTACAGAGCGCTGTCATCCGTCGTGGCCCTGGGAGCCAACATCATCTGCAACAAGATTCCTGGCTTGGCCCCGCGGCAGCGTGCCATCTGCCAGAGCCGGCCCGATGCCATCATCGTGATTGGGGAGGGGGCGCAGATGGGCATCAACGAGTGCCAGTACCAGTTCCGCTTCGGACGCTGGAACTGCTCCGCCCTCGGCGAGAAGACTGTCTTCGGGCAAGAGCTCCGAGTAGGTAAGGGCCTCCTTACCTTGTAGTAAGGAGTAGGTAAGGGCCTCCGAGTAGGTAAGGGCCTCCTTATCTTACCGAGTAGGTAAGGCCTCCGGGCTTGCGGGGACCCCGCCTTCGGGGCTTTGGGTGCCTGGGGGCCAGGCCACCCACTGAAGGCCAGGCCAGGTGGCCCACGCTCGATTTTCTACACCTGCTGGCTGATTTCTTTGCTGTAACAGCACTTCTCTGGGTGTGGCCTGCTGGAGGCCTAGGACCCCAGGGAGACCCGGACCCGGACCTGGCCTGGCCCTCTGGGACACTGCCGCGTCTGGAACGAGGGAGGTGTCGACAGGGGCCAGCCCGTGTGAATGGACGAGGGCCCTTGCTCTGGGCTGTCAGGCTGGGGGACACTGTCCTGTGTGGACGTGAGCGGGCAGGTTGGTGGCGCAGTGGTTAGAGGCACGCCGTGCTGATGCACAGCAGCTGGGTGGCCCTAGGCACGAGGCTTTGTCTCTCCATGTCTCTGTGTCTGTGTCTGGAAATGGGGTAAGTCGTGGTTCCTGCAGGGGGTGGTTGGGGGGCTTGATGCGAAAGGTGGCGGCCCACAGGAAGCGCTGTATGATTGTAGCTGGGATTCTGAGAGTGGAAGGGACTCTGGCCAGAGGGAACAGCAGGGTGCAGCAGTGTGACAGGTGGGGGCAGGGAGGAGTCCGGCTGGAGGGAGGGCAGGGTTGTGCGGGGGGGCGGGGGGGGTGGGACGGGGGAGAGGGGTGGCCTCCGATTCCGTGGGCAGTGGCACATCCAGATTTCTGTGGGCTGAGCCCCGCTGCGCTTTGCACAGTCCCTGGGCCACACGGCCCCGGGGGAGGCTCCCGTGTGCCCATTTTACAGGGAAGGAGACTGAGGAGTGAAAGGGAGAAGTGGGACTTGCGGAGCCTGACCTGATTTGGAGCCGCTGTGTGACCTTGGGTCTTGCCCTTGGGGCTTCGGGACCTCAGTTTCCTCGTTTGTAACCTGAGCTCTGAGCGAGCAGGCCCTTGTCTGGGTCCCCAGCACCTCTCCCAGTGCCTGTGTGCAGTAGGTACTTAATAAACAGCTGTTGAACGAGTGAGGGTGGGGATGGTGAGACACCTGCCACCCCCCACCCCCAGGCCATTGTGAGGGTCAGAGGGCAGGGAGTGATAAGGGGACACAGTGCCGGGCATGCAGGGCTGCCCTGTTATCCCAGACCCCAACCTGCGGGCACAGGTGAGCCTCCAAACGTGTGATCACAACAGGTCCTTCCGTTCCCAGAGGGCCAAGGAGCCTGGGCCTTTGGAGCGGAGTCACAGCTGGCGGGACGGAGGCCAGAGCTGAGCTCTGCAGGGCTTGGAACGCCTGCGTGGGGCTGGGGGAGGCACAGGGGAAAGCCCCCAGGGGCTCCTTTGGGTGAGCAGCCTGTGGGTGGCACCTGGCACGGGGGGTAGCACCGCCCCCTCCCGAGGGCCGCGCCACCCAAGTGCAGCTTCCGCCCTCCAGGTGCCAGCGGAGAGGGTGGGACTGCCTGCCCCGTCCCCCGCAGCTGGGAGGGCATGGGCACCGGTGCCCGCTTCATGCCAGGTGCCCACCTGCCTGCCTGGCACTGCCCGTCCCCTTCCCACCCACCCCGCCCCCCAGGACCCTGGGCTCCGATGCAGCTGTGACCATCCCCACGGCACAGCTGAGGATACTGAGGCCAGGGGACTTGTGCGGTGGCCAGTGGCCACACGGGGGAGCTGGGTTCAGATCCCCTTTCTGGTAGCCCTCCCTGCCTCCCTGTGCAAAGGGGGACGGGCAGTGGACATGGTCCTGTGGCCTGAGGACAGGTGGGAACTTGCCCTTCATTTAGGACCTCAAGACATAGGCGGTGAGGGAGACCTGGCCACTCTGATCCTCTCGTCAGGGTCAGGCCCCAGGCGGGGAGTTCACCAATAGCACCAATAGTAAATGCCGGGCTCCTATGCACCCTCCAAAGCCCAGAGGATTGGCGTAGGCCCCCCTGCCAGCGACCGGCCCCCGCGTAGGGACCCACATCACTTTCCCTGAGAGCAGCCCCTGGTGCTGTAAGGATCTTGGCTTGCAGCTCACAGCTGTTCCTTCTTGGAGTCTAGCCCTCTGCCCACAGAGAGGGGTGCCTACAGCCAAGGACGGGCTGATGCAGAGGGTATAAAGTCCCCTTGTGCAGGTGGGGCTGCTCTGTGACATTCTTCACGCCCTGAGCTCCCCTTGGGATCAGGCATCTCAGGCTCTGCTTCTAGGGAGCCCACCTAGGACACCCCCTCTCACTTTCATGAGCATTTCAGAGGCAGAGTTTTTGGCAGAGATGTCCACACCCACTGTCCCCGTCCCTCATTTTCTCACTCCAGTCACCCCTGTGCCGGCCATTAGTGACCTTGGTGTGGCCGACTGACCCTCTTCCTTGGCTGGGCCCCAGCTCACCTGGGCTTCCTCTAGCCTCTGGTTGCTCCTTCCCAGCCCCGCCCCAATCAGCTCTCCCACCCCCCCCACCGGCGTCAAGACCGGCACGGCTGCCCCCTGTGGACCACTCGGCGCGGCTGACCCATGGGAGCCTCTGGTCAACACGTTCAGCATCTTGCTGCTGAAATCTCCATCCTCAGCCTCCCCTGCTGGCCTGACCACCCAGTCGTCCAGCAGAAACCTGGGGTTGTCCCCTCTGTCAATCCCCCCACTCTGCCCCATGGCCACTGCGGGCCTGCCTCCCTGGCCCTCCTCTGGCAGCTGTCAGTTCCTCCCTATGCCTCCTTCCCCACCCCGTCCATGCCATGTCACTCCCTTCCTCCAAAACCTTCAGTAGCTCCCTATTGCCCAGGATAAAGTTAGCTTCCTAGCTTGGAGTCTGAGTAGCCCCTGCCTCCCTCCATCCCTTCTGGAAACTAGAGCTTTGGCCATCGCTGAGCCTGCCGGGCCGCTTCCCTCCTGCAGCTTCTCACCCTGGGAGGCCCTTCCCCTCCGCCTGCTTATTCACATCTGATTTCCCCGCTGGCCGCCAAGCCTTTTTTCACCCCTCCTGGCTCTCCGTCATCCACAGGGGGGCTGAAGCCACGCCCTGGCGCTTCCTCCTCAGGGGTCTGTCAGCCCCGGGCCAGCTCTGCACCTGCCTGAGGTTCCCTCTGCTCTCTGCCCCCCGGGGGGGTGGGCTTCCTAACACCCAGGCTGTCTCCCGACCAGCCGGAAGCCCCACCCCCTCCCCCGGCTCCTCGCTGCCCTCCGGGGAAGGCCCAGCTCTCAGCCAGGAGGGCCCTGGCTGCAGGCTGAGCTGGGCTGAGCCCTGCAGGCAGCAGGAGTCCCTCTGCGTGCTGTCATGGTGGTCTGAGCAGGCCCCTCGCTCCGCCCAGGGCTCAGCTCCTGGGACTCACAAGCAGGAAGTCGGGCTGAGCAGCGAGGCCAGCCCATGTAAGAGGCATGCAGGTGCCCCGGGCATGGGATGGGAGCCGGGCCATGGGCTGGCAGGCAGCCACTCGAGCGGTGCCAATTAATGATTGGCCCTGAGAGGGGGGATGGCCTGGGTGGGTGGGACAGGCCCCCATCAGGCCCTGCCTGTGACCTTGGGCCACGCCTAAATCTTGAGAGCTGAAGGCAAACCCTTTAAAGGCGCAAATCGACGCCTGTGCGAAGTTCCAACTCCTTTTCCAGCACCTGGTGCTGTTGCTTGGATGCTTCCAGAGATGGGGAGCTTACTACTCCACATAAGAGAGATCTTTCTTATGATGACCCTGTGCCGGCTTTGCCCTGGGGCCCTCGGGGGCCAGTTGCTGTGCTTCCTCTGGGGAGTTGAGGCCCACCCTAATCCTCCCTCCACCAACGAGGTCTCCCCTCACGCCGGGCGGCCTCCACCCTCTGGCCACCGGAGCCCACCCAAGCCTATTTTCTCCCCTACAGAGTGAGGCTGGGCCACCCTGGCCCCTCCTACCCGTCTCTCGCGTTACCTGGAAATGAGCTTGTTGGGGTGGGGTATGTGAATGCGTCCCCAACTCAACTGTCTTTTTCCATGGGGTGCGGGAGGGGGACGGGGGAAAGCATGAGAGTCAGGGGTGAACCTCGTATTCCAGGGACACCCGTTAGAAACTCAGGGTCCCCAGGCAGGGCATTTCTAACAGGCGCCACAACGGAATGAGGACTGCTGTCGAGGGCTTCCTTGATGGGGTGATGTGTCCGTTGAGACCCGAGGGAGGATCAGAGTGACCCAGACCAGCCTGAAGGTGAGAGCAGGGAAGGGGGCTCCAGGTGGAGGGAACAGCATGTACCAAAGTCCAGAGGCCGGAAGAAAGTGGATGGTATTTTCCAGGAACTGTGGGAGCGCCTGGAGCAAACGGGACGGTGGGGAGACCGGAGGCGGCAGGAGGGGTCACGGCTGGAGGGCTGTGGGCTGAGGCATGAGCGCTGTGAAGGCCAGGAAGGCACAGGTGGGTCTGAGCACAGAGGGCCTTCTGCCGCCCACCGCCCCATCTCTGCCTGAGCCCAGCCCCTTGGGACCCACTGGCACGGGCATGGGGGCTGCAGCTGCGCGCACTCGGGCCCCCGCCCACCCCGAGCTGCCATGGAACACTGAGTCCCGCCCATCACGAGCCGCTCGGACATGACCAGGCATAGGGGCCACCCCTAATCCTGCCTCACGTGGCGCCCGTTTGTTTTGTGGGTGAGATTTGCGTTGGGAGCAAGCCCTGAGCCTCCTGGCTGCCTGCAGTAGGGGCTCAGAAAAGGCCATCCGTTCCTGGACACTCTGAGGGAGCAGAGTGGCCTACCTCTGAGTGTCTGAAAGGCGAGGGTCTGGGGGCTTCAAGTCGGCCACTGGCTGGGGCCTTGAAGGAGAAAGGGCAGCTCCCAGGCCCTGTGCACTTACCGCATGCCCGGCCCCCTGCCCGGGGCTTGCACACCAGGCTCAGGGAGGTCCGACACGAGTCCCCAGGAGGGACGAAGCCTGCACTGTCCACTCTGGGGGCACAGGCCACCGCAGGCAGGAGAGCGCTTGAAATATGGTGCGTGCGAGCTGCGGTGTGCCATTGAGTGTGAGACACATGACAGGTTTCAAAGACTTGGAGAGAAAAGAAGCAAGAAAAATAGCTCTTTCGTGATCTTTTCACATTAAGATGTAGAAATGGTAATATTTGGATATATTGGCTAAATAAAATGTGTTACCAAGTTTAAGCTCACCTAATTATCTTCACTTCCTTTATGTGGCAACTAGAAAAGTTAAAATGACCTGTGTGGCTTGTGTGAGACCTCTGCTGGCGGCACTGCTCTCAGAGGGGTCAGGAGTTGCCCGGAGTCACCCTGGTCAGGGGCAGAGCAGACATTCGAACCCAGGTCTGACTGCCTTCTCCCAGGACGCCGTCCTCCAGCTCGGCTGAGGGCAGACCATCTGCTTCCGGGGGCGGCGCAGGGGCGTGAGGGTGGTTCCCTTTGGCAGCACCTGTAACTGCTCAGCCTGCAAGCGCTGAGTGCCTGCTGCCTGTCAGGCCAGGGGCAGGGCGCTGGCAGTGGAGCGAAGGCCACCCAGCCCTGCGCTCGGAGCCTTGCACCCGGGATGCCCTGGGTGAGCCGATGGGGCTGGACTGGGAGGCCTGCGGGGCCCCAGCCTTGCACCGGGCACGCCCTCTCGGCCCACAGGCCCCAGCTCTGAGGGACACACAGCTTTGTCCTGTCTGTCCTGGTCACTCCCTACCCCCACCCCCATCCCGGGGGCCCAGCATGAGGCAGCAGAACAGACATTGTCCAGGCTCGAGGCCCGGGGTCCAGGCGGGCAGGACGCTAGGGAGAATTGGGGCCTCGAATGTCAGAATCAGAAAGACTTTCCTGGAGGCAGGGCTCCCCGAGCCCACTCCTGGTTCAGGGTGTGATGAGCCTTGGTCGCTTGGGTGGCCCCGGCTCTGGGCCCCTGCACCGGAAGGCCAACTTGCTCCCGGGAGCAGCGGTTCCTGAGACGCCCAGGCTCTGGACCCGCCAGTGGTGAGCAGCTGGGGGCTCAGGCTGGGCCGTGGTCGATCCCTCCACGTGACTCCTCTCGGTCCGCCTGGAGCTCATCCAGGATGGGAATTTTCCACCTTCACTGGCAGGGCCCGGACAGACAGGACAGGCTGTGGGGGGGCGGATGGGGTCTGGGAGGGGAGAGGGCGCTGCCGCGGTCCCACTGTGTGACCCTGGGCACGGCCTCCCATTCTCCGGGCCCCCGTCTACCCACCCACACCAGGGCTGAGGCTGGGGCCCTGACGCCACCAGGACTTGGGGGGGCGTCTCTCCTCAGAATAGGGGCAGGAAGACCCTCTGCTTCCTTGGCACGCACATCTGCCCAGGGCTCCACGGATGAGGGGTCCAGGATGCCGGGGTCTGGTCCACCGAGCAGGACACAGATCCCAGGTGGGCGGGCCTCCACCCCCGGCCTCCAGGGGCAAGGCCTGGCCCAGACATCGGTCCGTCTCCACCTGGGACCCCTCCACTGTGGGAGCACCATTGCCCCGAGGCCGCCGCGGCCGGCCCTTGCACAAACATCACTCGCTCCTGGTTCCCCTGTCCGCACAGCATAGATGGGGAGACTGAGGCCCACGGAAGCCTGTCTTGGCCAAGGTCACACGCCGGTGAGAACTAGAGATCTGAACCCATGGTTCAGCCCTGTGCCCCGGCGGGGTCCGGGTACCAGCTGGTGGAGACAGGGGGCAGCTGCGGGGGGGCGGGGAAGGGGCTCTGGTTCCATCGCGTCCCCCCTCACAGGCAGCGGCTGATTTTGCCGCAGGCCCGACAAAGGAGGGTGTGGTCTGAGGAAGGCTGCCCGGGGCTGACCTCCCTAAGGAGACAGGCCGCAGAAGAGGCCTTGCCAGCCTCCCCAGAGCCACGGGGCAGGGGTGGAAGCTCCTGGAAGGCCAGCCCAGCTGGGGACGCAGACCCCCCGGCCCTGGCTGCCCCTCGCCGCGTGGCCCTGGGCCAGGCCCCCCGGGCCCAGCTGGAGCACGACCCCCCTGGAGGGCCGCTGTGGCTGTGAGGGCCCCGCCGGGTCAGAACAAAGGCCGCGGGCGCGGGTGTGCCGGCGTGTTCGGACCTGGCACGACTGTTTCCAGTGCTCTGTTTATGACAACGGCAGGGAAGAGCTTAGCGTGGAGACACTGACTCAGCCGGCGACGAGCCGGGGCGGCGGCTGGGACGGGGCTGGAGAGAGCCAGGGGGACAGAGGGCCGTAGAGAGAGAGGCAGAAACTGAGAGGGAAGGACAGACAGAGACCTACGGCAAGAGGGACACAGAGAGGGCAACACACACGCACATGCACAGGCACACGCACGTGCACACACACAGCGCCAGCGCAGGCCTTCGCCTGTCCCAGGCCCAGGGTCCAGGCTGCTCTGCGATGGGTGATAAGAGCAGCTTCCGCGCCCTGAGCACTTCCTCACCCACGCGGCGCTGGACCCCGCGAGGTGGGTGATGTTATCACCTCCCTTTAGCAGGTACAGAAACAGGCACCGGGGTGCAAGGCAGCCTCTCCGGCCTCACTCAGCAGAGCGTGGATTGCACCCGGGGGTGGTCCAGGCCGGGCCCCCTACACCGCCAGAATCCTAGGTCAGGATGGCGGGGGCCTGGTGGGGCGGGGCCTCTGGGCTTCTGATCCTTCAAGTGCACAAATGGGGATTTGGGGCCTGGTGGGCCTCGAGGCATCTCTGGGCTCCCCTGCCTCCCCGCCCCCACAGCCTCTCCACCTCGCCCGTGTGTGCTGGGATGCAGCTCGGGCAGGGGGTGCGTGCCCAGGCCCCATGACTGAGCCAAGGCTGGGACACGGGCACTGCGCTGCCCCGCTGGGGGACCCCAGGAGCTGCTGGTGTGGCTAGGGTGTCTCCTGGCCTCCCTGGCCTCCATCTCTCCACCTGTAAACTGTGGGCAGGGGGAGGTATTCTCCCACCACTTCTAAGCTCCTGGGAGCCTGAGGGCTGAATGGGGTGGTGGTGGAGGGTCTCAGAGGAGTGGGGGAGCTCACCAGCTGGCACTGTCCCACTGGCCAGGCCAAGGACTCAGGAAGCCCACCCTGTCCCATGTCCAATGTCGGTCACAGCAGCACCCTCCAGGGGCTTTCCATGTTCATAGAATAAAATCTAATATCGTCCCCACGGGCTCCCAAAGTCACCATGGAGTGGCTATCTCTTCTGCATCAAACCATACACGCGTGGCTCATTCCCTCCCTGTGACCTCAGCATTGCTGTTCCCTCTGCCTGAACACTGTTCCCTGCACCTTTGCATGGGTCATTCCTCTTGTCATTTAGGACTCACCTTCGGCATCCTTCTTGAGGGGGGCCCGCACTGGGCATCCTCCACCCAAGTCCCTCCCTACAGCCACCCGCCCTGCTGTCCCGTCCGTGGTTCTGACCGAGGCCCTCTGCCTGCACTCCCTGTGAACCCTCCCAAGCCCGCTGGTCCCCTGGGCTGTGATGTGTTAGTCTTGTCCCGCTGTATGCTTGGCCGTGGGCTTGGGGATGGCTAGGGGCTGAGGGCCTCCTCCCTAGGGCCCTGGGGTTGGCCAGGAGGGCAGGCCATGCTTGGTGCTGGGATGGTAGCAGAGGAGTGAGGGAGGGAAGGGTGAGAGATGGAGTAGGGTGCCCGGGCATGACACATGCAAGCCTGGGTCTCAGGCCTGGTCAGTGAGGGGGCAGACAGACTGTATGGTTTCCCTGTTCTGGTGGGTGTGGGGGGAGTGGTCCGAGCATGGACTCTGGGGTCCTGGGTCAGATCCCAGCTCTGTGGTCAGCCTGCCGTGAGGCCTTGGGCCAGTCACCCGCCTCCTTTGAGCCAAGCATGCTCACTGTGAGGTGGGGCCCCTGTGAGAGTTTCAGTCGAGTAGGACAGGTTGTATGCAATCCCCTAAAACCATCAGATGCTGTATGTTTTTAGAACAACTTCATTGAGATATAACTCATATACAGTACAATTCAAGCATTTAAAGTGTACTATTCACTGGTTTTTAGTCACAGGTTGTGCAACCATCACCATAGTCAATTTTAGAACATTTTCATCGCTCCAAAAAGAAACCTTAGCCATCATCCTCCAATCCCCCTCACCCTTGGCAACACTCATCTGCTTCCTATCTCTGTGGAGTTACCCATTCTGGACGTTTCATATCAGTGGAATCCTACACCATGTGGCTTTTGTGTCCGGCATCTTTCATTGAGCATCACGTTTTCAAGGTTCCTCCATGTTGTAGCCTGTGTCAGTACTCCGTTCCTTTATATGGCTGAAGAGTGTTTCATTGTGTGGAGAGACCACAGTTTCTTTATCCATTCATCCGCTGATGGACATTTGGGTTGTTTCCTCCTTTTGCTATCGTGAACCAGGCTGCTATGAGTATTCACATACAAGTTGTCGTGTGGACACGTGTTCATTTCTCTTGGGTACATAGCTAGGAGAGGAATTGCTGGGTTACATATTAATAGTAACTCTGTATTTAACATTTTGAGGAACCTCCGAATGGTTTCCATAGCGGCTGCACCATTTTCCATTCCCGCCAGCGGTGCA